ACTCAGGGGATAAAGTAAACATGACTCAGGGGATAAAGTAAACATGACTCAGGGGTTTAGGTAAACATGACTCAGAGGATAAAGTAAACATGACTCAGGAGTTTAGGTAAACATGACTCAGGGGTTTAGGTAAACATGACTTAGGGGATAAAGTAAACATGACTCAGAGGATAAAGTAAACATGACTCAGAAGATAAAGTAAACATGACTCAGGGGTTGATGTAAACATGACTCAGAGGATAAAGTAAACATGACTCAGGGGATAAAGTAAACATGACTCAGGGGATAAAGTAAACATGACTCAGGGGTTTAGGTAAACATGACTCAGAGGATAAAGTAAACATGACTCAGAGGATAAAGTAAACATGACTCAGGAGTTTAGGTAAACATGACTCAGGGGTTTAGGTAAACATGACTTAGGGGATAAAGTAAACATGACTCAGGGGTTGATGTAAACATGACTCAGGTGTTAAAGTAAATATCCAGAGGTGTTATTGTGTGAAAAAGCAGAAAAGCAGGGTTATGCCTAAAAAAGTGATGCTGAGGATTTAGCGCAGACGGAGAAGTGTTAGCAGGCGGRGGTGGGACCAACCGAAGGGTGGGAGTCCATAGTTCTGTCCGGTCTGGGGGAACGATGAGTACACAGTGGACTGGGCCAGAGGAGGGAACACCACCTGACCGGTGTAGGACGTCACAGCGGGGCTGAAAGAGATGGTGTAACAGCTGACACATGAACACACATTCAGAGCGATGGTAAATAAACCATGGGACTCACCTGGTTTCCTGATACACCTGCTGGCTGTAGTCAGCTGAAGCTGCTGGGTCTGAGGCTGTGAAGGAAACAGTTTTAGGTCCAGTTCTGGTTCTGTTCTTTAAGAAAGAGACCAGGATGTGTTCTCACCTGTATGAGTGTACGCTGTCTCTCCACACAACTGGCCAGCTGCTCCTCTGTCTGCACCTGTCTGCTCCTGATCACCTGCAACCAGAGACAGAGTCAACATGTGGTCTACATGGTCCTGCAGAGACACCTGGGTCCTGCAGAGACACCTGGGTCCTGCAGAGACACCTGGGTCCTGCAGAGACACCTGGGTCCAGCACACAGATCAGACTCAGGTCCTTCAGACCCTCTTCTCTACAGAACTTAAAGGACAAAGACCAAAGACCAGGGCAAGGTCCTGTCTTCCTGCTCACCTCCAGTGATTTGGGCCGCAGACAAAGCAGAGTAAGAACTGTCCGGTTCTGATGGACCTAAAACAGCAGCTGGAGCTCCGCCTTCATCTAAATGACTGAAATACAAAGTCTGGATGATGAAAGCAGCCTTTCCCTGAGGAGAAACTAACTTTATGTGAAAATCATTAAACAAACCTTTGATCTTTGACCCGATCAGAACCAGAATCTATCTTTGCCTTCTTGGCCTGCAAACAAACAAACAAACAAACAAACAAAATCAGCTGATAAACAAAGTTAAACCTGACCCAAAAAGAAACAGATTTATTAATAACACTATAATATTAATTTATCAGTAACAGGATTAAACGCTGACAGAAAGGGACACACTGAACTATTTTATTTATAATTCCAGGTTTAAAGATTTAACTGTGATTAAACTGGACTGAAAGAAAAAATTAAATATTAACTGAGTCAAAATGTTTAGAATTAATTTTATTAGTTTTTATTTAAAGAAAACTTTCTACTGAAGCCCAGATTAGAGATGGATGAACATAAAATCTGACTTCATCTCCTGCTGCTCATCTGTAGCTGGTCTCAGAGACAACAGGTCCAGAGACCCAGACCTCCTCGTCCTCCAAGAGACACTCTGATCAGCAGGACCACCTCAACTGACTCCTTTTGAAGAGGAGGAGCAGCTCTACTCCCCACCCCCGCTGACAGAGCTCCTACCTTATCTACAGGACTCTGTAAACCTGCAGGACTCTGTAAACCTGCAGGACTCTGTAAACCTGCAGGACTCTGTAAAACCTGCAGGACTCTGTAAACCTGCAGGACTCTGTAAACCTGCAGGACTCTGTTAAACCTGCAGGACTCTGTAAACCTGCAGGACTCTGTAAACCTGCAGGACTCTGTAAACCTGCAGGACTCTGTTAAACATGCAGGACTCTGATAAACCTGCAGGACTCTGATAAACATGCAGGACTCTGTAGACCTGCAGGACTCTGTAGACCTGCAGGACTCTGTAGACCTGCAGGACTCTGTAGACCTGCAGGACTCTGATAAACATGCAGGACTCTGTAAACCTACAGGACTCTGTAAACCTGCAGGACTCTGTAAACCTGCAGGACTCTGTAAACCTGCAAGACTCTGTTAAACCTGCAGGACTCTGTAAACCTGCAGGACTCTGTAAACCTGCAGGACTCTGATAAACCTAAAGGACTCTGATAAACCTAAAGGACTCTGTAAACCTGCAGGACTCTGTTAAACCTGCAGGACTCTGTTAAACCTGCAGGACTCTGTAAACCTGCAGGACTCTGTAAACCTGCAGGACTCTGATAAACCTAAAGGACTCTGATAAACC